TAAATGATCAAAACCATTGTCAGTAACATCAATGGTATCAGCAAACAACAGGAAAAACAGAAAATGATCATACTAATAACTGTAAACACAGCAATCCTTGTACTAAAGCGGATGTGTTCATTTTTACATGCACACATTCCATTTAAAACCTTTCGCTTTATGCTACTGATACAGTAAATAACTACCTTCATAACATACAAAACATAGCTTATCTAGTACAGTAGCATCTCCTCATATACTGCAATGTTATTGCTGAAACAACCAGTGTTATGAAAATACTACACACTGGCATCACTCTACCAACTGAAAGAAAAGCCTACAACATTTTGTTTATTTCAATTTTATTCTTTTCAATCATTGTAATTTCAATACTATAAAGCTATGTAACATTAGGCCAGTAGGAGGGGCAGGACAAATACTGGCTCATGAGCTGCCTAGACCTACATGAATTAGGGCATGCTTCATGTAAATTATATGTATATGAGGGTGAATTCAGGTGAATCATATTGCAAATGATATGTAAGTAAGGTACTTGTGCACAGGCGCTTGTTTTCATGCACTGCACATGTTTCGTCATTTTACAACAGGTTCCTGAAACAGGTGACGTAGTTCATACATCGTTTAACCATTTCAACTCCTTGAGACCACCGGCGGTGTCATTTTCATAACTTTCATATTTCGTAAGCTACATTAAAAAGGTGGGGGTCATATGAGAGCTGTAACTGTCTTCTTTCCAGTCAAATAGATGGGTGATGTAATTTTAAACCCTTATAATAAAAGAAGCTGAACTTACAATTTTTTTTTGTCTACTGAAAATTGGCTCATTTTTCCACAAATCTGAGCTATAAACTATAAACAGATGGCGTCTCTTCAGTGATTATTTTTATAAAAAAATACAAAGAGCGTCTTAAGATTTTTTACTTTCAGCTGTGAATCGTAAGCATATAGCAATATGTGTATGATCATAAAACATGTTCTGTTAATTCGAGGGGAGCTTTTACAAAAAATAAATAAATAAATAAAATAAAAATGTACATTTATTTCATGCAGTTACTGAATAATTTACCTTACGATTTGGTCAGGTAAATTCAGATGGACAAACCAAAATATACCCTGGTGATCTGCCATCCGGCAGCAGTAAAACCTTTTTTCCCCCCTCAAAGTGTAGAACTCAAACTCTCTGTGAGCTTTAGTATTTTCTATCGCTGCATAAAATATGCATGAGGCTTCCTTTACCGTTGGATGCACCATGTCTTTTTTTTCGAGCGAGTGCATGAGCTCATTCAGACTAGTGTGGATTGGTAAGCACTTATTATTGATTTGTTTAATGAGAGAAATGATAAAGCAGATTTTTCATATTGTATGTGTTCCTATACAAAACTGAATCTAAATCTATGAACTATGAAAGATCACATTCTCAACACATCAAATAAATTCACAACAGCATTCAGACAATGGTAACTGAAAAGAATGAAAAGAATAACCACAAGAATTAGTCACTTTTTTGCATCTGCCTGAAATGGTTAAGTACTCAGCATGTCTATCCAATGCATGATCTGCTGTTAGTTATGTGATGAAGCAAGCAGGAATAAACAGAATCCAGTAATACAGCTCCCAGTCTAGAACTACAGTAACTCAACAAAGAGAAAGGCTGAATTCCAAATATGCAGAAGACGAAAGAGGTCAAGGAAGATATCAGTCAAACGCCTGTGAACGTCAGCATTTCTTCGAATCCCACAGCTGAAACTGATTCAACTGTTAGAGGAAGACCACAGCATCCAACAGCGGAAACTCACTCTATCTTACATGCATGTAAGTGCCGGACATCGTGCATGTGCATACCACATGTATTCGCAACGGCAAGTGCTTCAAAGCTGTTTGATATGGATTAGGAAAGTTTTTGGATCTATGTGTGCATTTTAAAGTGGTACAGCCGACTCGGCTGAATTTGAAATATTCATGATCTCCCCTTTTGCATTTTTGGACTTGAAAACAACTCCCAGTCTCAGTGTTAACGGACCAAATGAAAACTGGCAAGCATGCCTTGGGGGTGAGGTGGGAGCACCTCTGCTTTCCGGCACATCTTTTTCAGACACCAGTCTGAGAAGAACACTGAGAAAGAGAAGGCACCGTCGTTGAGGAGGTCCAAAAGCGTGCAATTTCATTCACTAAAATCAGTACCAGTCTTTTCACTCTCAGCTGGAATGGAGAAAGCCCCGCAAGTATCACACCACTCACAGCACTACTCCAAAATGTTCAAAGCGGCCGCTCAGCGGGTTCTTCAGATAAACACGGCCTTGTTTATCCGCTGGAGGATCCGTCAGAAGCACCTCCGCTGGAATCACCCTTGGAGCAATAACAGGAGAAGCTGGCACGAGGGTGGGCTAAGCAGGTAGCTTCTGCTCTGTCTGCGTGCTTCAACACCATTCTAAGCCTGCATCTCTCTGATTATTACTCCAGCAGGTCTCCTGCAGTGACGGCCTGGCCTCTGTCTCAATTAAATCACCGCCAATAATTCAATTTCAAAACGACTCCAGAGAATCAAGGCCGGCTGTGTTTTTGTAGCGCAGCAGCCTCCGATGACCGATGCGCAGTCTTTGAGAGATTGGAAAGGCTCGGTGTGCGCGGCTGCTGATGAAAGTGGTCTTTCTCAAAGGAAAATAAAATGCACAGACATTTCTCCTCCCTATTCCATATTAAAGCAGTCAAGAAAAGGAGAAAAAAAAAACATTTAAAAGGTGCCAAATTTCGGGAAGGAAAAAAGTTTACTTGCAGAAAACTAAAAAATCTTAAATATTATTTGTTCTCAGGCCAAAGGGTTGTCATCAAGTAGCCCACATAAAAAACGCCTTTCAATTATGTCAGGCCAAGCCAAAAACCTGCCAAGCAGACAGTTCACTGTGCTACGAAACACATGAGCATTGTATGGCCTTTGGCAAAAGTGTGCAATATCACTCTTGGCTCTTCTTGAGGGATGGGGCTGTTTTAACATGAGTGTAATGCGTATATAGACTTCCAGACAATTTATTTCTCCAGTCCTGCAAAAGCTTCAAAATGGATGCAAAACTGAAAAGATCTGACTCAAGAACTAAACCTACTGTCTGCCTGCAGACAATTTACTGCTATGGTAGGTACAGAAAAAAGGATGCGCTTACAGTGCTCTGCAAAAGTCAGAGACCACCTTTTATTTATTTAATTTCCAGTCAAAACGGCTATTAAGTACACGTTTTCAGTGTTAGGAAAAACAGCGCGAACATATAGATATAGAACCATGAACACTCAAAGAAACATTCGCATGATTAAAGAGCTCTCTGCATCATAAGTGTTCTTCAGATTAAAGGAAAATTTGCTGTAGATGGTTCTATATAGAATCTTTAGGAAAAGGGTTCTATATATCCCCCGAAAAGGGTTCCTCTATTGCTACGATGTCAAGCTTGTCACAATAGAAGAACACTTTTGGGTACTACATAGAACCCTTTTCAAAAAGGTTCTACATAGAACCATCTGTGGTGCATTCACGCACATTTTCCATCAATCTGTAGAACACCATCACGATGCAATGAACGCTTTAATCACACAAAGGGTTCTTCGAGTGTTCATGGTTCTATATATTTAACACAAAATTACACAGAAGCCTCAACAACTAAATATCACAAAGTATTTAATGTGTCCACTTTTTACCTTTGTTACAGTTTCCATTCTTTTCAGGAGACTCACTTTCAGTCAAAGAAATCTGCAGAGACGTTGTTACACACCTCCAAAGTTCAGTCTTAGAAGTTGGTTTAGCATTTTCTGCTTCTCACTATCCAAGTAACCCCAAACACATTCAGTGATGTTGAGATCTGGACTCTGGGATGGCCAGTTCATTGTTCTGAGAACACCAGCAGCTTCTTTGTTTGATTTACATGGGGACAGTTTTGGTGCTCTACCAGATCTACAGTTGGAGTCTCAATTCTCTGTAATCTTTAAGCTCTAGCTTTGGAATCTAATATCCAATCTCCTTAGAGATATCTTAAAAATGAATAACTTGCACTTAAAGGCCGTTTTGGCCGGAAATTAAATGAAGGATGGTCTCTCTTTTGCACAGTACTGTAGGTGTTCCTGAGAAGAGATATTTTTTACAAAAACTGTCTACCTCCTTAACTGTCCTTTTCTCTCCTTTTTACCTATCGTCTCATGCACTTCCCTCCTCCGTCTGTCTAAAACCCCCTTCTTAAACCCTGCCTCCTCGCTGCTCCCTCGTATTCTTGGCTTCCCCTCTGGCTTTAAGACAGAGCTGGGTAGCATTTGGGCTTCTTTTGTTAAAGTAACAGAAAATGAGGCTAATAAAAAACAATATATTGGACTATTTATTTTCTGTAGGAACACATTCCACTCTATAAAGAGGCCTAATGGCATTTACACAGAGCGAGCCTGATTCACAAAGCCAATAGGAGATTTATGGGCAGTGTGCTTTAGCGTCAGCTAGGGGCTCACACAGGGGCCAGGCCAGATGGCTCCAATAATCATAGGGTGACAAATCCAAGTACCCAAGAAACCTTTACAGTACCTGGCTCTCATATACAGTCAAGCGTCGCTCTTCTGCGCCCACTTCCCACACTTTCACTAACACACAAACACATTCGCTGCTAAAAGAGGTTGTGAAAGAGTTTGTTATGTAAAAACTGTAAAGCTGCAAGTATTTAAAGAACAACTTGTAAGAGTTCTCTTCAAAAGTTGCCTGATCTCAATGCTGTTGTCATATCAAAACCCACTAACCTCCAAGTGTGTGCACATTTCATGACTAATGTACTAACACAATTATTCAAAAATTGCTGTTTTTGAAAATTAAAGTTAAGAATGTTTTTCCTTTTCCTATAAAGTTACCATTTCTGGGGTATGAGGTTTTGCTATGACAGTGACTATAAGCAAAATGACCTTATCACACTCATTTTGCACAGATGGAGTGACGGAGTTAACTGATACACTGACGGCTGAAGATGAAAGTGGTCATGACCCACCTGCTCAAGGCTCATCTTCTGTAGCTCCTCCTCCCAGGCGTCCTGTTGGCTACGGTGATAAGCGGAGGGTGGGGCCAGGTCCTGCAGGATGTGGGGGTCTCTCTCGTGACAAAGGGCCGTGAGGTGGCCGATGTAGAGTTTCAACTTACTGCGGTTCTGATTGAGGTCTATGAGAGGGGGGATAATCTGTACAAAGCAGAGGAAAGAGGAAGAGGTGTTAACAATACTGCACAGAACTAAGCCTGTTTGGGCGAAGTTTCAATCAGAAGGGCTACCTTGAACCCTTTGGATGGAATGTGGATGACGAAATGTCATCTGTACAGCATGTTTAAGAAACTAAAAGTGCTGCATGCATCATATGTGACTGATTTGGAAGGACTGATTTTTCAAATTCAAAACAGAAATACACAGTGACACAATGTAAATGATTTCAGACGAAGAGAAGAATTTATAATACAAAACACATTAAAAAATGATAAATCACAATCAAATAATGTCATAATCAAAATTCTTCATGGAGCAGAGCAGAGGGCTGAAACATTCCCAACTCAGAGGTTTGAGCATACATCTTCCTTAAGGCTGATTTGTTCCTCTACTTTCCAGGCCATTCAGCAAACTCACAAACATAACAGAGCAGCGGTCACTAGCCCTCTTCCTGAAGATCTGCTTTCCTGCAGAGTTTTGTTCCAACCTCCATCTTACATGGTTCTCCTTCCTTACCCAACACTAAAATATCTGACTGAGAAGTTGTTAATCAGCTGAAACAGGTGTGGCAGTTTGTGGTTGGAATTTGACTCCACAGGAAGGTAGATCTCCAGGACCAGTGTTAGTGACCACCGCAATAGAAGTTGCACTGACTATTAATCCACGAGCTGGCACTATAGGAAGTAGTTAACTAGTTGAGGACAGCGTCTGAAGTACAGCCACAGTAAAACCAGCAGCAAACAGACAGAAGAAGAGAACAGAAATCATTTTTTCTGCTAAACACAGAGAACAAAGCACTTTATTGGTGTGGGAATACTACACCCAAGCCCAAGCTGTGTAAGACTGCTGGAACACAGCCTCATACGCCAGACCAGAAGAACTGCTGACTTTGATAGGAAGAGGCCATTTAACTGACATGCAAACCAACCAATCACAGACTGTTTAGCATGATGTATGTATGTGCAACAAAAACAAACTTGTGGTAAAAAAAAAAATTGTACCGGTCAGCCAACACATGATATCTCATGTACTAAGCTACCTATGGCTTCAAACTAATGGGAGAATGTTTTTCTGGTTACACCACTAGGCCTATATCTTGTCTGGAAAGGCTTTTCGGTGTGCAGAGATATCAACTGCTTGTTAGTAGCATTTGCTTTTGATGAACAATCGTTTGGTTCCCATTGGACCACAAAAACCAGTGCACAGAGGCACAGATAGCATAGCCGGTTTAAAATCTTCATAAGAGTTGAGATTCTATTAAGTCACTGAAGTACCAAGGAGGAAACTCTACTCTCATGGAGAACTTTCTAGCAAGTTTAACCAAACACATTATTTCAGCATCAATCCTATATCATACGATACAGCTGCAGTGTTTTATAACTGGCAGTCAAAACCCTCACAATTAAAAGATGATGCATCTGAAACCAGTCAAATTCAACACCTTACAAAACATTTATTTCTGATGAGAAGGATATACAGCTAACAAATATCAGTTCTGAGTCAATCATTCTAAGCACATGCAAAATATGAACTGACTGTAGAGTTTTTAATTGACAGCGTCCTCACACTGGTCAGTATAATGGAACTGCAAGTCAAAGTCAACACATTATAAAATGGTAATTTTAAATAAGTAATACAAAAAACAAAAAAACACAACAGATATCAGTTCTATCGTAACAAAGGCATCCCAAACGTGAAGTGGTTTTGCACAGACAATCATTAGCAAATTGAGACCACCAAAATGTATTATATTGAGAGAATCAAAAAAAGAGATAATCAAGGGGGCACTTTAGTTAAACAACAATTTATTAAATAGTTAAACAGAGGAAATGATTTATTAAGGAACGGGGGTGTTTTATTAAACTGAGAGAACAATTTTTTAAACCAAGGGAATGAACAGTTAAATTTAGGGAACTTTTTAAGCCTCTAAATTTTTTTTCTATCTTGTGAGAGTTGAGGTGATTTTAGCGTGCAGTTTACCTTTGAAAGTCAATGTAACTCTGTAGAGCTTGAAATACAACAAACACTTCATCTCCCACCACAAACCACAGCATCTGCCCCAGCACCAATTAAGAGGAGAGCTACTACAAAATATACTGACGTCAGAAATCAGTTATTCCGCTTAACACATACAACATAGTTCATTAGTGTGGAGATGCACAAGCTGTGTAAGACCATGCTGAAATACAAGCTTGTAAGCCTGACTTCCACAGTTTTTGACTGACATGCAAAACAACCAAGACTGTTTGTGCCGTGTGCAATATTAAATATATGTGCTTGCTACCTTGATAATTTAGGGGCTCCATCATATTCTGAGAGCTGTGGTGATTTCAGCGTACAGTTTAACCCCTTAACAAGCCACGGGAATAAATATTTATTACATATTTCTTCAACCTAAGAATAGCTCCACTAGTTTGCATTGAAGTCCCTGTAGTTACTGTTTTGAAATAAGCCTTTGTATGAAATAAACCTGGATTGTTATGGGGTTAAATGAGAAATTGTATGAACTGCTCTGCTGCTAGCTGCAGCTTCTATTAGCAAGCTAGTTTTTTTGGCATTGCTAATGACTATGTTTAATAACTAGTTGACTGGTAAAAATGAACAGTCATGAAACCCTTACCACATAATGGTGTTTTCCTATGAATCTCTTGTAAAAACAGTTTGAGCCTATAGGAGCCTATCAGATGCTATACGGCAGAAAACGCATGTACCAGACTGCCGTATACACACTATCCTACGCACTCGGCCCTCACTAAGACCATATGTGCCTTGGAGCGTCTTGCTGAGCTTTTATGAGGAGTGAGGTGTTTGTGTATGAAAGAGGCACTTGGCCCAACACATTCTTCATCCCTAAGAGCTTTTGATCTTAAAGCAGAGCGTGAGAGAAAGGGAACGAGAGAAACACAGAGAGGGAGAGAGAGAGGAAAGGTGTGGGCAGACAGTAGATGCAGCCATGGATAGCCGAGTAACAGGATAGGTGCGCTGAGGTGAGTCGAACCCAGGCCGCCACCCCTCCTCTGTCACCCCCCCTAACCGCCTTCCCCACTCTTAACAGATCGAGTGTCACATGTGCTACAATGTTCAGTATTGCTTTTGGACTGAAACGCTTAACCAAAAGGCTGCGTTCTGAGGGCGAGTTTCTCTAAAACGTGCGAGAAGAGAAGATCGATTGAAGCTTTCCTACATAAATAATCTCACGGTGGGAGCTGAAAACAGAGAGGGCTTAAGGAGTCAAGCAAACGCTCCTCACTGTTTGGACTGCACACAAGAGCTCCAAAACAGAAAGCATCCACAGTTACCTGAGTGCGGTAGAGAGTGATGGGGAAAAGAAATTCCAGCAGAGAGTGAGTGAGAGAGCGAGTGAAGAGAGGACTGCAGAGATGGAAGGATAGAGAATCTGGTTTCATCTGAGGCTTGCAGCGCCGCAGCGCACAAACACAAGAAAAAACGTTTACGTCCGCACACTTTATTAATTCTTATTACCCTATGTATCTTTTCCAGGGCAGAATGTTATTCTGTTTTAGTTGGCTCAGCATGAGCTGTGCAGCTCCGCTGGGTGGATCCTGGCTACAGCGAGCAGCATGACAGAGAAACATCACCACAGAGGGAGATAGAAAGATTAATGGAAAGAATGAGAGGCGAGATGCCCGCAGTAATTGTGCTCTCTTTGAAGTGCCATTACTATATATTTATATGACCATATGAGGGGGTGAGTATCAGCCTTTTCTATTAATAGCAGGAACTACACGCGACTAATACTGTACATGTGCTGACAGAAGAAAAGAAAAATATTTGGCCTGCACTTCTCCATCTGCTCAGCCACCCCTAAATGACATCATACGTCATTTAAGATTAAAGAAATGGTAGAAATGGAATGAGGGGAATCACCAACTTTGGCATCTCCATCATGCCCCCCAGGTGGACTCAGGGAGGGTATCTGAAACTGCTGACCACGGCCACAGAGACCAGGACATGAGGTTTTAAAGAGGCAGGCTGATAGAAGACTTCTAAACCACCGTGACCGAACAGCCTTCTTCCAAGGGCTAGGCGGTTACACTCGGAAAACAGCTGGAGTCAAATGTCTTTGCCTTAGCGATGACACGCTATTGCTATCTGTCATTTCTTTCTGTCTTTGTTTCCTTCCTTTCCTTCTCTGTCTTTCACATTTACACACGTTATGACTAAGTTTGGACATATGTTTTTTGGAAAAACTTTTTGGTATAGAACAGGATGGTCAACTGAGAGACCTCAGTCTGGATTCAGATTTAGCAAAGGACTTCAGTGGACTGAACTGAACACTCACAAATTCGCAAAGCCGATCAATGTCTGTAAAATATAGTCATATTTCAGCAACATACATGAACACAAACCAGTGTGGCTTCTGCGGTAGTTTAACCAATCACATGCATTTATGTAAACTACTTTAGCTGCAGGCAGCTCATCAGAACAGGGACTACAGGGCTAGATATCAAATCAGAAAGCAAATTACTTCATTTTGTAGATTTTTCATTTTGGCCTGAGTAGTGAAGCATGGCTTGTTGGAAAAAAAGGACAGTCTGAGATAAAAGAACAAATGAACAGAGAACTGTGTGCTTTTCTCTCCATTTCATATTCAAAAGCGATGCATCTTATCTGTTCGGAGTACATGCCACAGGTCAGAAGTAAAAATGTTAAGCATCACTGTAAAACAACATCACTTCAAATTAAACCTGAGTGCTCCATTCTCTGACAGCGCAAGAGCGTGAAATGCACATTAAGAACAGCCTGTATTCATTTTTATTTTAATGTAATAATTTAATGTCATTTTTGAAATTTATTTCACCTGTTGAAAAGACAGGATTTTTTTTCTGTTGCCAAATATCTATAAAGATTTTCCACTATTTTTATTTATTTAGGGTTTTTTTTAATACAATAGCCATTGCCACACAATTTACAATGCTCATTATATCATAAAACTACATTCAAAATGAAAGCATTTATCT